AAAAAAAAAAAAAAAAACCAACCTACTTGTAAACAATCATTTTTCACCTAACCTTTACTTTCATCTCTTATGCACTCAGCAAATTCTCTGTGGGAGTCTACATAGGCCCAGGTACAAGATAGCTGGGTACACTGTCACATCCCAAACTTAACAGAATTATTTGAACTAGTCAAAACTGAGTTGTCTGTCTCACGGAGAGAATGTTAGAACTGTGGCCTCCTCTCCTATGACTCTGGGCAACTGATCAATGCAGACATCACCTAACAAGGTCCCTGGATGCTTTATTAAGCTTCTTTTGTTATGTAGTATTAGTACTGAAACCTTTGCACAGTGTGGGCCTTTCTGTGTTGTCATTCAGTCACCTCAATAATTAAAACTGGAACCTTTGAGCTGCCAACTACCCATCTTTATTAGTGATCTTTCTGCTGTTGTGGTAAAATCCCATGACCAAGAGAAACTTACGGAAGCAAGAGTTTATTTTGGCTTATGATTCCAGAGTAAGAAAGAGAGTCCTTGATGGTAGGAAGAATGGTAACAGGAGGCCTGAGCAGAATGTTATATGATCACATCTCCATCCTCAAGTGAAAAAAGAGCAAATTGGAAGTAGGGTGCTGTGGGACAGTGGTCCTGTACCCTGTAAAGATTTGTGAGTTGTATTGGTTTAATAAAATGCTGATTGGCCAGTAGCCAGGCAGGAAGTATAGGCAGGACCACCAGAACAGGAGAATTCTGGGAAGAGGAAAGGCTCAGTCATCAGTGGTCACCTAAACACAGAGGAAGCAAGATGAGAATGCCTCACTGATAAAGGTACCAAGCCATGTGGCTAACAAGACAAGAATTACAGGTTAATGTAAGACATAAGAATTAGTTAATAAGAAAGCCTGAGCTAATAGGCCAACCAGTTTATAATTAATGTAGGCCTCTGTGTGTTTCTTTGGGACTAAACGGCTGTGGAACCTGGTGGGACAGAAACCTCTGTCAACAGGTGAGGCTACGAACTTTCTCAGCTCCCCCAGTGGTATGCTTCCTTCAGCTAGAATTTACCACCTAAAACTTCCCAAACAGAACCACTTAAGTGGGAACCCTGTGTATGAGCAACATTTCTGATTCAAGCCACCAGACCAGCTAAAACAGTTACTCAGAGCTCCCAAATCTGACCTGTCCATTTGACCAGCTTTCCTTTACACCTTGGAGCTCCACATTCTGGAATATCATGGCCCCACCCACCTCACCCATGCCATCACCGGCAACTCTTCAGAACTCAGCCCTGCCCTAAATATAGGATCCAATCTCAAGTACCAAGGAACTTCTCACTCCTGTGACCTGGACAGTGTACTTTATCAGTCTATCCATTATCTTTATCAAAAGCCATTGGTATGCTGATGACAAGGAGGCTTTCCCTAACAAAAGTTATCAACTATAGTTGCCCAAGGTTTATTTGTTAAGCTAACTTCTCCCCTCCTTGCCTGCATAATGTATTACTCAAACCAAGTGTCAAAACCTATCTTTTTTTTTTTTTCCAGTAATCTGTTGGCCATCTCTTAGAACCAGGTATCTAAGCTAGGGAGATGTTTGTGCATATGCATGAAGACCTGACTGAATCCCAGAATCCACATTTTAAAAAAACCAGGCAAGGTAGAGCACATGGTAATCAACAACAGCACTGGGTAAGAAGAGACAGGTGGATCCCTGGGCCTCATGACTCCCCAGTTTAGCTTATTTGGAGCTTCAGGCCAGTGAGAGATCCTGTCTTCAAAAACAGGTGCATGGCTCATGGGGAATAACACTTGAGAGACTCCACATGCATACATACCTGTGTACCCATCCACCCAGAAACACACACACACACACACACACACACACACACACACGAGGGGGAGGGACAAGAATCGGATCTATTACCCTACTTGTTACTATGACAACAGTAACAGCATAGTGCCCGAAACATGGAGTGCATCTGTGCTGAGCACTTGAGCCATGCTGTTCCAGTAAGGCTCCTTGTATGTGCACTGCTTGTACAACCACGTATTCTAGGCAGGGAGGTAAGATTCCTATGGATGAGTGTAACTCACAGTTAAAGCAGGACCAAATTCAGTGCATGTTCTTTCACTATACCTTGGTTTGTTTCTACATCTCTCTCCCAGCTAAACTGTGGGAACCCTGGATATGTTTATGTTCCCAGCCCCGAGTCTCTGAACTGTGCGTGCACAGATATTTGTTTTTATTGGATTCCGTGTTGAGTCCTGATAGTAGCATCAATTTTACTCTCTGTCTTCCTGGACTTGTGCAGGCACCTTCTTTCTCTTCATGCGGCCACTGGCAAATATTGTGAAATGGAAGGGACGCTGTTTCTCCCAAGATGCTCTGTTCTTTGTGATGATGCATTCACGACAGGGATGGACGACTGTGCGCGTGCTGTGCAACTCTCCAAATTACATCTGTGATATTAAATGTAGCTGCTGAATTTGAACCTTCTGCTTCTGTATCGACGGCCCATTACACATACACACTATGGCAGCAGAAGCCAGAGTCCCGTTCAGTGGGTGACACCTTAGCGGCTTATAGGAGCTGTTGTCAATGGGCAGAAGTGAGGTTTAGAGGCCATGCAGCTGCCAACTCTCCTTCCTACTTCCTCATTTCTTCTGCACTCCAATGGCAAAGGTTACCCCTCCTTGGTGCAAAAGATAAAAGCAGTCAAATGCATATATTTGTGTAAGATTTTTACATGCCTTCCAAAATTCTCAGACCTGGAACTTTTAAACTAGAAAAATCTTCCCAAAAGATGATTTTTAACTTTAGCGTGTCATGTGGCGAATATTACAGAAAGCATCCCAGGAGCTTTTCAAGACAGGACCTGTGCCACTCGGTGTGTGGAGACGACGGTGTCTTCAAGGGCAGCCAGGCATCGTAGCTCCCGGCCTTTGCCCACAGGCCCCCCTCAAAGCCCGTCTTCCTTCCGGTGTGCCCCAAACCTGTTTACAAGCGTCTTTCTCTTTCACAGTACTTGCCACAGGTACTTAAGTGTGAATAACGAAAACGAAAACCAGAAATGAAACTAAATTCCCGTTACTAAAGAAAGACTCGCGTTAGCCCTCTGGGGTGAGAGGCGCAGGGAATTAATTATATTGTAGGAGTTGATATCTTTCTTCATTTCCCTTTCCAGGCTTTTGGCAAATACATTTTTGTTTCCCACAGTTTTAAAGAAATGTAAGAACTCCCAAGTTCCATGGCCAGGAACCCTGACAAGTCCCTGATAGCTGAATAATGGATGAAGTTCTGCTGTTTACTTAGCAAGGGGAGAAAAAAAGAACGATACAGAGTTCCAGATACAGAGCAGGGATCTGACATCCTTCGAGCTGAACAATGGTGAGAAGAATAGACTGCCTGCCTTCTTGCCTTTTTTTTTTTTTTTTTTTTTTTTTCCTTCACAAGAAAAGTTTTCTCTGTAGCCCTGGATGTCCTGAAACTCACCCTGTAGACCAGGTTGGCCTTGAACTCAGAGATCCACCTGCCTGTCTCCCAAGTGCTGGCATTAAAAACATGTGCCACCACTGCCCAGCTACAGTAGCTCACTTATCTAAGTTCCAGAGCTTTCGAATATTCAAGAGTGCAATTGGCAATATAGAAAAACATTATTGGGGCTGGAGAGATGGCTCAGATGTTAAGAGCACTGGCTGTTCTTCCAGAGGTCCTGAGTTCAATTCCCAGCAACCACATGGTAGCTCACAACCATCTGTACTGAGATCTGGCACCCTCCTCTGGCGTGCGGGCATACATCAGGGCAGAATGTTGTATATATAATAAATAAATAAATCTTAGAAAAACATTATTCAAGTAGCACTGGAGCCACAAGATGGCATAGTAGGTAAAGGCACTTGCTCAGCAAGCCCACCACGGTAAAAGCGGATAAAGGACCAAATCCACAAAGTTTTACTCAAACCACTATGCATACACTGTAGCACATGCACACATTATGCATACACCCATATAAACACACACAAACACAAAACCTGTATCTGTACCATGACAGGAAAAAAATAAGAGAAACATAATATTTCTGTTACAGAATAAAAACTGAACAAGTAGTGGCAAATGCCTTTAAATACCAGTATTTGGGATGAAAAGGTGGGTGAAATCTCGAGTTTGAAGTTACCCTAATCTACAAAGAAGTTTCAGGACAGGCAGGGTTATACAGAGAAACCTCAAAAAAAAGGAAAATGGAATAAACCAGGTACAAAACAAACCACTCTATAAAAATGTAATGCCACATATAAATTAAAAGCTCTGGGCAGGAGGCTGTTTAGAACTAATAGATAGAATTTCCATTGGGGCGGTAAGTGCTTCTGTTACATATTTAATTCATTAGGTCCATTCTAATCCCATTCTATAAAGCTGTAAGGAAAGTAAAGGGCATATACTCTAAGTTTACTAAACAATGAAGTCAGTGAGATGGCTCAGCAGGTAAGGGATTGATGCTCATTGATTCAAGCCTGCTAACCTGAGTTCCATCCACAGAACCATGGAAAGGTGTATGGAACTCTACAAAGATGTACTTGACCTCCACACATGCACAACAGCATATGTCCCCACACATATCAAACATACAAAAACAAACAAATAACATTTTAAAGCCCTGAATCTAACAAGACCTTAAAAATTATGGCTTTAAACTCAGTAAAAGTTTAGGTAAACTTTACTGTCAGTCAAGAAGAGCTAAGAAGCCAAGTGTCTCCAAGTTTTTGAGTTCTAGGTAGCCATTCAATTAGTAACAATTTAGATACAAAATGTCAAGGTTCAACCTAAAAAGAGCACAACAATCTGAAATTCATAAAAGCTCTTCAATTAGTTATGTATTTTACAATGACAACGTTTTTCCTCTAACACCAAATAAATAAAATTTAATAGGATCACTCACCTGTTGACTTGAAAATTTCACTTTTGGATTGTTATCTATCTCCCATAATCCTTCATTAAAACCTTTTCGTTTATTTGGTTTGCCATACTTTTCCTTATTTTCAGAGTAAGGAAATATGTCCTTTGGTCCTAAAAAGGCACTGTAACAGAAAGGAAGGTGTAAGTACAAAGGAACCTCAATTAAATATGTATTAGGCTTCTAGGTGACATGATTCAACAAACACTTTATATATGCAAACTAGTTTTTTGTATTTTGTTTTGTTTTTCAAGACAGCGTTTCTCTGTGTAGCCTATCTCTCCTGGAATTCACATACTAAATAAACTCAAGATCTGCCTGCCTCTGCCTGCCAGTGCTGGGATTATGCGGGTACACCACCACTTCCACATCATACAAACTAGTTTTAAATCCTAGTGATCTCATTAGTACTGGTAGAGGAATTAATACAAATAGTCATATTTAATGCCAAACCCTATTTTTCCTTTATAGTACTGATGATTGGTAGGCAAGCTCTCTACCACCAAGTAATACTTCTAGCCTAGAAATACTTTAATAAAATTCACTATTTCCTAGATCCATAATTCTATTTTTAAGGTTGCACAAAAAAAGAAATGTATTTAATACCACTGAGTTGTACACTTAAACATGGCTTACAAAGCACACCCTTTAATTCTAGCACTCATGAGGAAGGGGCAGGTGGATGAATCTTTCTGATTTTGAGGCCAGTCTGGTCTACAGAGTAAGTTCTAGTACAGTCATGGCTACACAGAGAAACCCTGTCTAGAAAAACCAGACCGGCAGACAAACAAAAAACAAAGGCTAAAGAGCCAAGCGGAATGAGCTGAACAGAACACCAGTCAGACAGTTGGCTCGGCCATGGAAACTAAGAAAATAAGTGTGCTGGCTTAAAAAACAAAACAAGTTATTCAGAAATATAAAATGAACACATGTAATTATATACATAAAATATGTATTCCTATATTAAATGCATATTAACTGCCTCATCCATGCGCTGTTAATAATTTTTCTCACACACCTATGAAACCCCTAGGGAAAGAACTACATACAATGCCATTATCCTGAACTCACAGGAGGTTTTTAACTTATATTTTTGCATGTGTGGCTGTGTAAAGTGTATCTGTGAGTGTATCGTGCGCAGGTGATTGCAAATTAAGAGCCGGAGGACAACCCTGGGTGTCATAATCAGAAAATCATGGGCTTCCTTTGAGACAGTTACTTTTATTGGCCTGAAAAACTAGCAAGGAGGACAGCCTGGCCAAACCAAGGCATTGAGGATCCTCTTGTCTCTGCCTCCCCAGCACTGGAACTGCAAGCAGCCCACCAACTGCTCAGTATTTTTCTGAGGTCAAACTCCAGTCTCCATGCTTGTGAGGCAAACACTTTATATACTGAGCCATCCCATGGGGTTAGTTTTTAACTTCAGCAATTATGATCAATCAGCTTCTACATAACACAATATCATTACAACAACTGAATGAGTTCAGTCCTTCAAAGCAAAGTTCAAAGATTCAAGTTTAATTTCAAAATAGGCTGAAAGATATTTATTTTTTTGATTTTCGAGACAGGGTTTCTCCGTCGAACTCACAGAGATCCACCTGCCTCTGCCTCCCGAGTGCTGGGATTCAAAGGCCTGCGCCACCACCGCCCGGCTGGCTGAAAGATATTTAGCCTCATAATTTACCTGTGAACGTGAGCCAGTGCTCAGAGATATCTCTCAGAAATTAGGGATATTCAAGTGTAGAGAAAAGGAAAAAACAAAACAAAACAAAAAAGGCTAAAATAGAAACTAGGAAGATGGTACAGTGGGTCTGAGTTTGAATCCCCAAAACCCATATACAGTTAGATGTACTGGGATTAAAGACATGTAACACCACAGCCTGGCTTTGAGTTTAATCTCAACACCACAAAAGAAAAACTAAACAGAAAAGCTGCAGCTTCAGTACTTCCGTTCTGATAACTTGTGTTCAACAAGCACATTGTTCTACCTTGAAAAATGTCATACTCTTTAAGTTTGAATCAGCTTCCCAAATTATCCTTAGGAAACTGTATTGTAATCTTGTTAGATTACATTTATATATTACATTATATTATAATGAAACAAGGTCTCATTGTATAACCTTGGATGCCTTGGAACTCTATTCAGGCCAGGTTGGCCTTGAACTCACAGTACTCTTAAGAGTACTAAGATTAAAGTTGTGCACCACCCTGCACATGTGCAGTGTTCCTCCTGCATGTCTGCCTGCAGACCAGAAGAGGGCACCAGATCTCATTATAGATGGTTGTGAGCCACCATGTGGTTGCTGGGAATAGAACTCAAGACCCCTGAAAGAGCAGCCAGTGCTTGTAACCTCTGAGCCACCTCAGCAGGCCCAGGGAATGCTTTTAATAGCTTTTTGCTGGCTTTACTTCTGTGACATGTTTATCCTTTCATTAGTCACGTTTCTCTCTTCTGCTGACATTTGTTTCCATTGCTTCACTAACAACTTCTGGCTGGCCATCTAGTACCTCTCCAATGTACAGATAGATCTATTCAAGGTTAGCACATTCAACTAACTTCTAGCATTATTACTGTTTCTTTGGTGCATTTTCTTTTTGCTAGCTCTCTCATTTATTAAAATGTCATGTAGGAGCCGGGCGATGGTGGCGCAAGCCTTTAATCCCAGCACTCGGGAGGCAGAGGCAGGCGGATCTCTGTGAGTTCGAGACCAGCCTGATCTACAGAGCTAGTTCCAGGACAGGCTCCAAAGCCAGAGAAACCCTGTCTCGAAAAACCGAAAAAAAAAAAATGTCATGTAGGTGTTTATTATCAGGAAACAAAGGCAAATTACTTGTAAACTACTCATGATCTGATGAATACAGGATGACCCACCATCGTTGTTTTTCTCTAAACAAGATTTCTCTGTGTACTGGAACTCAGAGATCCTTCTAGAATTAAAGATGTGTGCTAGCACATCAAGAAACTTTCAAAGTGACCTGGTAATGATCAGTAATTCATATCTCAGGACTGGAGAGGTGGTTCAGAGGTTAAGAGCACTGGCTGCTCTTCCAAAGGTTTTGAGTTCAATTCCCAGCAACCACATGGTGGCTCACAACCATCTATAATGAGATCTGATGCCCTCTTCTGGTCTGCAGACAGAACACTGTGTACATAATAAATCTTTTACATCTCAATTTATAGATTGTAAAACCAACAGCAATCTTAGTTACTAGAGCAGAAATGAAATTTTACATGTTGTTGGGTATGTGAGAGTTATTTAAACTGTAGAAACTAAATTTGTGCATGCTAATACTATACCAAGGACAGCCTTTCTCTGCTGCCTAGGACGTTGAACTGCACTATTCTCACCTTAATAGAATTCTGCCTGATTTCTTGATTACTGATAAAATGTAATCAAGTTATATTTGGTCTCAATAAAAGCATGTCACTTACATAAAAATAGTTAAAAATTCACAACTTTCCATTCTACTTGATAGTGTTTAAATTTACATTTTGCAGGTTTCTAAAACTTCTATCCATCCTTTGAACCCTCCAAACCCAGACCTTTACAAACCTAAATAACTAGCATACAATAACTATACAAAGGTTTTTGAGATTTTTGTTTTATTAATTCCATGTATATGGGGAGGGTGGAGTATGCACATGAGTACAATACCCAGAGGTCAGAAGAGGATGTCAGATTTCCTGGAGTAGGAGTTGCATGCAGTTTTGAGCCATACACCATAGGTAATGGGAACTTGGATATCTATAAGAAGTTATGCTCTCGGGGCTGGAGAGATGGCTCAGAGGTTAAGAGCATTGCCTGCTCTTCCAAAGGCCCTGAGTTCAATTCCCAGCAACCACATGGTGGCTCACAACCATCTGTAATGGAGTCTTGTGCCCTTTTCTGGCCTGCAGGCATACACACAGACAGAATATTGTATAAATAATAAATAAACAGAATATTGTATACATTATAAATATTTATAAATATTTAAGAAAAAAGTTATGTTCTCTTGTAGTGATGAGGCTGCGTCCCCGGCACCTGGCCGCCCGCATGGCTAGCTTATGCCCGAAATAATTACACGGAAACTGTATTCTTTTAAACACTGCCTGGCCCATTATCTGTAGCCTCTTATTGGCTAGCTCTTACATATCGATCTAACCCATTTCTAATAATCTGTGTAGCCCACGAGGTGGCTTACCAGAGAAGATGTTAACCTGCGTCTGTCTGGAGTGGGAGAATCATGGCGACTCTCTGACTCAGCTTCTTTCTCCCAGCATTCTGTTCTGTTTTCTCCGCCTACCTAAGGGTTGGCCTATCAAATGGGCCTAGGCAGTTTCTTTATTAGTAAGAAATCACTCCCACATCATTCTCTTAACCACTGATGCGTGTCTCCAACACTACCTGCCCCACAAAAAAATTTCTGAGACTGGCTGGCCTGACACTATGTATACCAGGCTGGCCTAGAAATCAGAGATCTGCCTGTCTCAGCTTCCCAAGTACTGGATTAAAGATGTGTCTCATTGCCGAGCGGTGGTGATGCACACCTTTAATCCCAGCACTCGGGAGGCAAAGGCAGGCGGATCTCTATGAGTTCGAGGTCAGCCTGGTTCCAGGACAGGCTCCAAAGCTACAGAGAAACCCTGTTTCAAAAAACCAAAAAAAAAACAAACAAAAAAAAAACCACCTTAAGGCACTGTTGGCAGATTGGCCTCAGAGTGAGTCGCTCTGTCAGTGCTGCCCTCTGTCCTCCAGCTCACTCTAACTCCAGTGTTGGCTTTGATGTCGAGTGTTGAAGCACTGTTGTAGAACTGATGGCTGCTCTCCATCAGGCTGTGTAGGATGCACACAGCCCTGTGATTAGGACTGCACTTCCTGTGGTCTAACCCATCTGCACAGTTTCAGTTGGGAAAAAAATTGTACTATTGTGATGACCCAAAACTAAAGCTGCTAAAAACCACAGAACGGATAAGGACCAGAGTTGAGTGCAGCCCCTTTGCCCTTCTGCAATGCTGCTGGAGCACGGCATCTGAGAGAGAGGAACAGTTAGGACGACGGGAACACCTTCTCTTTTTGCAACTGATTGTTGCAGGGAACTTCCAGCGTTATTGTATAGCTCTGGGACACCTCGTTCCTGAGC